GTGAGATTTGGTGATGTCACTGCTATACTGCTCACTGTTCTCCTTGCTGGGGGCTCTGACACAACCAAATAATACCCTGCCTCTACCAAGATGGCTGCCTCTACACAAAGACAGAACAAGACATGGTAAGGCAGTAATGGGCAAAGATCAGCTGCAGAGAGACTACAGGTAATATAGTTGTGTAGTTCTTTGTCCTCTGCTTGCCCTTTTTATGCTCACCTTCCAGAGTCTAGTTCCTCCTTAACCACTTGCCGTCCGCCCGTTGTAAAAAAATGGACGGACGGCACTGCAGCATTGGCAGGTTGCCCCCAGACGGCATTTTTTTTCTGCTTGCGCGTGCCCCCTAGCGGGCACGCATGGGCAGAAAAGACCCGACCAATGCAAACACCCGTTACCGGGTGTTTCACATATAGACGATCGGCGGCCCCATAGCCCACCGATCGTCTATGTGTGCTCGTTTTTTCGGACCCCCCCCCCTGTGGTAATACTGAAAAATGGCCTGGATGGGAAGGGGGTTTAACACCGCGGATGTGAACTGGTTAAATAGCTTTTATTATGGAGACTTTCAGCACCCCGCAATGCAGTGTTTTTTTCTGTACTTTATTCAGAGCCCAATATTGATTTACCAGATCACAGATTTTTCAGGACCTCATCTGATCTACCTCTTGGTTGAATTGCTTTTGTCCAATTTGCCGGCAGGTGTTAATCTGTTTGAAACAGGTTCCCTGTTCAAATGTCTGGAAGCCGTTCTAGACACGCAGTTTAAGCCACTTCAAAGTCACAAGTTCCGGAGAGACCCTCTGATTATATCATATGGCCAACTGAATATGCATATTGCGCAAGGCAATAGGAAAACTTTGATTCCTTCCCCGAGGAGTTAAATATTTAAACCGTTGGACCGGAATTAAATAAAGTGAGGGGGATTTATTTTGCGCAGTTATTGTTTTTAGCAGAGTTTGGCATTTAAATCAAAGGCTCCAATATCATACTGGACAGATTGTTTTCTTTCTTTCTTTCTTCTGAAATTGTGTGCTTTACATTGTTTTGTTTTTTCATTTGATCTTAAAATCATTTCTTAACGGTGGGAAGGAAAATCGTAAAGCAGACCTGAAGTAAAACAAAACATTTTAAACTCATTTCACATCTGTACAGTGGATGGCCTTGTCGATACCTCTGACCCTGTCCCACCTGCTGGTTTGATTGCTTCTGCCACCTCTGCAAAGAATAGCACAGAAAACTAAACTCTGGCGTTTTGCCATGAGTGCCCCTCAGCACCTGTGCAATGACAATCAGGTTTGGCAATTGGATGCTTAGACACTGATAGGGTTATTCACAAAAGGTTGAAGAGTTAAGGTGCCCATACACCTTAAGCTGGCCACAGACCTTACAACCATTGCAAGACCTTTGTCTTGCGATGGTTGTAAGGTAATTAAAAAAACGTACAATCTGCCCATCTTGGACAGGCAGATCGTACTTGCGATAATCACAAGCCTGCGATCCGATGACCGCAATGCTGTACAGGCAGTGTGCGCTTGCGCACACCGGCCCGTTCGGCATTTATCTTACGAACATGCCACACACCCGCCGGCAATCGTACGATTCTCGGCGGGTTTTCGAACATGTTCCTAAGATAAAAGCCGTGCGACCGTACAGTAGAAATGGTTGCACACCTTCCACACACCTTGCGATAATCGTACGATCGTGGGATTTGTGTGGGCATCTTTACAATTATCTGCAGATTTTCTGTGGTCAGATGGAAAGAGTGCAACAGATTGGCCCTGGTGGAGAGATTACTCCATCCACACAGTTAAGTGTAGATGGAGGAATCTGTTGCACCTTTTTCATCTGACCACAGAAAATCTGCAGATAATTGTAAAGTGTATGGCCAGCTTTAGGAGAAGTGAACAATCTAGGACAATATAGCTAAACTGGAAAGTGAGCTGAATTGGAGAATTTTTCCAAATAAACTCTTCTGGCCTAGATTATTCACTTCTCCTGCCTTCTCCAAACTCTTCACCCTTTTGTAAATAACCCTGTGAGTCTTACATTTGGGGTTAGAGGGGGTAAGAAGCATGCATATGTGTCCAAGAAATGAAAGTATTAAGATTTTCAGCAGGACAATGGCAGCAATTAAAGCAGTAGACAGAAGTGGGAGCGTTAAGGGCCTACCAAAATGCTGGGACGGTTTGTGGGTTTTGTTCCAGAGTACATAAACTTTTAGGGCCCAGTCACATTTCTTGTTGTGGTAAAAATGCACATTGTACCACCTGCTACCACAAAACACAGTCACGCTAACTGTTCAATGGGATGGCACCCCAATGCGCTATTACAGTATCAGGCAAGGTGCAAGACTTCATTAAAAGAGAAGTAAGTCCGATCTTCTTTCCTGTCGTTTGGCGGGTCTCCGATCCAGCGCTGACTCCTCTGTCGTTGCTGGCACTTCCTGTCCCACAGTGTCTGCATGCGGGTGCACGCGTCCATAGACTTGCCTTGCGTCTCTCCTCGCGTCCCTCCTGAAAATGTGAACTGCGCATGCGCCCGCCCCAAGATGCTTTGCTGCCGCCCGAGGATCTTCACATTTTCGGACGGGAGCGCGCAGGGAAGATACAGGTGAGTATTAACCTCTGTTAAAGCATTTTTTGTTTCCACTTTTAGCGATTTACTGCAGCACTTGCTAGCAGTAGATCTATGCAAAAAAACCCGGAGGCTTTAATTATTCTTTAAATTAGTGTGACCTTATAGCTACAGCTATATCGCACCAATAAAACCAAACTGATTATTAATTTTGCCTTTAAATGTAGCGGAAAGTAACCTCATATTTTGCCACGTGGACTGCCTAGGAAAATTTGCATGAAAATAAAAATTGAATGGCTTTGATAATAAGCAAAGAGATAAGGTTGGGGTTAAAGTGGAGAGGTTTGCATATGTGGCTGCCTACATACCCTGTTGACAAAATACTGCATTACAGAACTTAAAGCACATTGAAAGAATATGCATTAAAAATATTCACTTTATTCCCCGGATTCTGAATGCTTCCTGGTTCCTATCACTGAAGGCACTGAGCCTCACAGGAGGATCTTGGGAAATCTCAGGATCCCAATTCTTGCGAAAAGCAAAAAGAGTGTGTTCTCGCGGAATCTGGGTTCCTCAAATTTCTCAAGATCCCTAGAGATGACCCACTGATGTCAGAATTTTTTACAGACTTATTCACAAAAGGGTGAAGAGTTTGCAGAAGGCAGGAGAGGTGAACAATCTATGACAACATAGCTGATTTGGAAACATGTTCTAATTCAGCTCACTTTCCAGTTCAGCTATGTTGTCCTAGATTGTTCACTTCTCCTGCCTTCTCCAAACTCTTCACCCTTTTCTGAATAACCCTGTTAAACCTTTCTCCCAAATGTTTTTTTTTCTATTTCCGTAATGCAGCGTTTTGACACCAGGGGTGGGTGACAACCATATAAGCACACCTTGCATTTTAGTACAAGGTAGGGTTGCCACCTGTCCAGGATTCACCCGGACAGTCCGGGTTTTGAATGCTGTGTCCGGGTTTCATGGCAGCAGAAACCCAAACACAAGATGCCAGGCAGACAGGGGCAACCAAAATTAAGATAGGGGCTACTGGCCCCCCACTGAAAATAGTCTCAACTGTGATATTTACATATGAATGGGTGGCACAATTTGCATGTGAATAAGCCACGTCTCATTCTCCCAAATAAATATTTGCGCGTCACTAGAGTGTTTGGGTTTCGCTTGAAGAAAAGGTGGCAACCCTAGTACAAGGTTCAGTTTAAGATCCACTTCTGTTCCTCACTATCTAACATGATGTTTCCATTGCACCATTAAAACCACAAAAAAACTTTACTCCAATGCATTCACTAAAATTTTGAAATTTCACCAAAATCTCACTATTTTCCACAAAAGTTTAGTTGAAACAAAAACTCCCAATTGTGGTCATCCCTAAATGTGATCCTGGACAAAAAGAATAAGTTCACCAGTAAAAACATTTGCCACAAGTAAACGTTGACTACTTTACCCCTTCTGGATATGTAGCAGTCCTTTCTATTTACTGTATTTATTTTATTTTATTTTGAATGCAGAGACAAATTACATAGCACTTTATAAAGTACATTCTACCATTTATATCAGACCCTGCCCCAGAAGAGCTTACAATTTCCTACCTACTACCAGATTAACAGACATGCGCATATCCCTAGACATAAGCTGTAGCCAGTTAATCTACTAATATGTTGAGGGGTTGTGGGAGGAGACCCCTGAAAATCTATATACTGTATACCATGCAAGTGGACAATTAGGCCAGAAGCACAGCACTACTGGGCAACAGCACTAACCCTTTAGCCACGGTGCTGGCATGCTTCTTCATTAAATTGTATCTAAAGCCCTTTTTTTTTGTATTGAATAGGGTAGGGAAGGGGTAGAACCTCTATCAGGTTTTATTTTGCTGTCTATGTCCCTGCTGAGGAGATTCACCCTTTGTTGGTCACGAGATGGGAAGTGAGGGAAAATCGAAGATTTTGAGCTGTTTCAAGAAAAGGAATAGAGGGAATATCTTTCAGGTGGAACACTTTTGTTACAACTCTGTAACGTTTTCTTTACTTTAGGGAGATCTTAAAGTTGTCAGAAGAATCTCTGACATGTACACATGCATTGGACTGAATGGACCTGTGCCGTTTTTGCAACCTTAGTTACTCTGTAACATGAGTAAAAGGAAATTCAATTCATAGTGATGCCTGTTCTGGTGACAGCAGTTTAAGGTGGGATTTCCTCTCACTTCCTGTTGTGTCTATAGGAAAGGAAGTGAAATCTCGCCAGTTGACTACAGATGGCAAATAACTTGATAGTTTAAACCCTTCCTTACTCTTTAAAAAATAATAGCTTTTGGTAGACATTGTTCAGTGTGTAGAATTTAGTGAAAACTATCCTTGCGATTGCCACTAATGCCAAACATTTATGTATAATCATGTGTATTTGCATAATTGTAGGTCTCAAGTTTGAAGAATTACAAGAAAGATTTGGCGAAGAGTTCTTCAGCCTTTGCTTTGAGGAGAATGAAAGGGTCCTCCGAGCTGTTGGTGGGACTTTGCATGACTTCTTCAATGGATTTGATGCTTTGCTAGAACATATTAGGACTTCAATCGGAAGACAGGTGTTTCTGGAATCCCCTTCTTTCCTATGCAAAGAGCTTGCTGATGGGACCCTTGTACTCAGTTGCTTCCATCTCCATCCCATCGTAGCGTTCGCCATGCTTGGTATGATAACGGCAGTGGCAAAGAAGATCTACCAGCTCAAAGTTGTAGTGGAACAGATAAACAACGTCAATGAGAATGTGGTCCCTGAATTTATTAACCCGGGTAACTGTAACACTCTTTACTTTACAATTAAGGAATGTGAAAACGCAAATATCACTAAATTACCTCTGACTAGATCGTCTCGAGTTCCATCTGATTTGAGTATAAGTATCAACACGTTCTGTCGAGCATTCCCCTTCCACCTGATGTTTGACCCAAGTATGCTGATCGTGCAGCTCGGAGAAGGACTTAGAAAGTTGATAAAGTGTGAAGTTTACAAAATGAACAAGTTTCACGACAATTTTGAAATAGTGTCCCCAAACATTATCTGTACCTTTGAACAGGTCCTCTTGAGACTGTCTACACCCTTTGTCATACGGAATATTCTAAACTCTTCCAGTGTGGAGAATGACAAGGTAAGGTTCTCAATTTTTTTCTAGTGCTCATACAAGTACCACAATTTGTTATACACTGGTAAATCTTTTGTTTATGTATGTTGGATTAAAGAACAACTCCAGGTATATAAAATCCTAACCCTTGCAGTGGGGCTACCCCTGCACTACAAGGGTTACATGCTTGTTTTGTCTAGGGAGCTAAAATAACATAGTTATACTTACCCAAACCACGATCCCAAACCTCTCTCCCCCTTCACTTCAACGGTCTAAGGTCCTGTGAGTCATATAGCACACTGTATAAGACATGAGGATGCCAAGGGAGATGAGGACTCCATCACTGGAGTGGAGGAGGAGACAGGCTGAAGGGACCGGTCTAGGACCCAGCTGGGAGTATAGCTCTGTTATTTTAGCTCCCGAGGCAAAATGAGTACTTAACCCTTGCAGTGCGGGGGTAGCCCTCCTGCAAGAGTTAAGATTTTATTTGCCCGGAGCTCTTCTTTAAACAGAGACATTTATAAATCATGTTTTCCCCTAGTAAATAAATAATCACTTGAGCAAAATATGCTAATGCAAAAATTATTAAAATCGGATATTCATGCCTGGCATGTTAAAATATTGATGTCTAAAGTGGAGCCAACATTTTAGGTACAGTAAGGAAGCCTTAAAACATCTTCTATTTTGTTATTTTCTGTTGTCTATGGCACTGCTTGAGAGGTTCATCTTTACTTTCTGTAATGGAGACCATTGTCACCAAGACAAAAAATGAAGAAAAATCCAAATTTTTATAACGGGCACCACAACTGGAAGTGAGGGGAAATCTCCTAATGGGTACATCTGAATATAAATTTTCCTAACAGACACACAAAAAACACCAAATACCAGACAATATTCTTCCCTTCTCTATCCAAAAACCAGAACAAATATTTTGGTTCCACATAAAATGATCACAAAAATACTAGTGATCATATTAATAGCATTTTTCACTATGTTTTCTCAGCAATCCAAGCTGCAGACTAGGCAGCCCACATACATACCTGTCTGTTTTAATACTTACATTTTCCCAGTCTTGGGAGTGAATAAAAGCAGCAAATTAAAAAAAGGAAGAAGCTGATTTGCCCCCTCTTAAAGGAACCATGTGTCATGCCTGTGATTGAAGCTGTATAAAAATAAACTGTAATCAATAGCAGTGTGCAGAAGACATTTAATGCTTGCCATGCCAACTTTGGATTAGAGCTGTCATTTTTCTTAGCCAAAAAGGGCTTTTCTCTCTCACTTTGTGGCCACTGTCCATAATAAGAAGTAGAACGTATATAGATTGAGGCCTGTGCATTTTCCTTGAATTATTTAGCAGTATAGTAATATGCTTATAAAATGGTTTATTGTGTGTTTAAAGGGGAATTCTAATTTTTACTAAGTAATTTTCAAGCAATAGAAAGTAGCAGCAACAACAATGTATAGTTGCTAGGCAAATTACATTGGAAAGAAATATATAATGAACTGCACAAAAGGGCATAATGTGTAATTGTATGTGCTCTGTTCAGCTCAGAAGGAGACAAGAATGACCTTCTAAGGGAGATTCTGATCCTTTATTATTTATCGGGTACAGGGGAAATGTTGAGGGTTCCTAAATCTTTCCCACCTCTGTGTGCTCTTTTGCCCTTATGTTGCTTAGTGGGTTATCACTGGCAATTGCAGAATTTGCTACCTCTTACTAATAGCTGATGCTTCTGGAAGGGTGCTGGAGCTGAAAATGGTGACATAATATGCCTTGCCCTCAAAGCACCATTTTTCCCAGTGCCCGTGAGAGGGCATGAGTGTGTACACTTTCATGCTGATTTGCACATGAAATAACCAAAATTGTTTGGAAATTTTAGATTTTCTAAAAAGTTTTATATCTTATTGACAATGGTCACCATGGGTATGTGCAGCCTATTGCATAAGGGTGTGCACACAAAAGTACAAACACACACGCATATATAATCCATACATACATATACAGACCTAAGGCATCCTAGATTCCATCTCTTTAATTGCCTCTTACCTCTTCCAGCGTAATGAAGCAGGGAGACTGGCAGGTGGTCATGTGACCACCTGTCTGGCTTCCTGATTACATGGGAAGCTTGGGAATCCACAGCCACTCTCCCTCGCAGCTTCCCTGGCACCAAAAACTATGGCTGTTACTGTATGTGAGGAATGTAAGGGACAAGTGCTGCTGCACTCTGTATCGCTGAGCCGGTCGCAGAGAGATCTTTCTGATGTCTCCACCAGCTTGATGACTAAAAAAACACGCCCTGCTGTTACGGTTTCAGTGTTCCAATTGGGATCATTAGGGTGTGCCCAGGCACACCCTGGACGCTTGCCTATGATGGCAACCAGGACAAACAGAGGGTGTCTGTTCCTCAGGTATAGGAACAATAAAAACAAGTGTCTAATCCTCCCCCACTATTTTTAAAACCCATAACATTGCCTCAACATACAGTTTAAAATAAAATAAGCCAAATGCACATTCTTATTGAATGTGCAACTCGCTCTTTTAAAAACTGTTTGGGGAGGAAAAAGTGAAGAGTTCAAGGAGCACTGTGAATTTATTGCGCACACATAATTTGGTGAATTTGAGTAGGAGTGTTCAGTTTTGGGGATTTCTTTTTAAATATAGGATTGCAAGATTTTGTAGCTGGTCCCAATTGTATTGCTACATTTTTATGCAGCCTTCAAAGAGGTCAGGGTCTGTCTAGCAAGGGAATCTGGTTGACCAGAATAACAAATAATTTGGTAGGCACTATAGTCTCAAAGTTGTGTATTCTTTTCTTCTTTAAAATGTTACTTTGCTTTAAAAGGTGCAGCGGTATAATACCCAGGATCAATGTGTACATCCTTACTGAACGCCTTAGAGATTTCATAACTGCTTTTTCATGACATGCCTGGTTTAGCAAGTGTGATAAATCACCTGCATTCACTAGTATTTTCATTTTAGAATCACATCAGTATCTTAAACCATCATCGACTTTCTCATGTGCTGTGGATATAATGGGGTTGTTTTACTAAAGGCAAATAGACTGTTCAATTTACAAGGGAACTTGCACTTTGCAGGGGAAGTTTCCCTTAGCTTGGTGAATGAAATGATATTTCACTTTGAAAAGAATTTCCAATCACGAGCAAGGAAAATTAAAAAAAACAGTAGAATTGCTTGCACATGATTGGATGATGGAAGTCAGCAGAGCTTCACCTCATTCACTAAACTAAGGGGAAACGTCCCCTGCAAAGTGCAAATTCCCTTGCCAAGTGAACAGCCCATTTGCCTTTAGTAAATCAACAACAATATATACAAAAAAGGCACACTTGCACGACACACAAAAATAAAAAAAACTCTAACCCCTAGTGTTAATAGACAAAGGAAGGCCTGTTGGGTTTTTATTGCTTTTTCTTACATGGTAAGGGTGAATTTAACCCCTTACTCCCTGTCCAAGTGACAACATTCTCACCTAGACAGGAAGTCAGGGGAAAGCACAAGAATAATAAACAGCTTTTCCAGTTGAGTAAGGAAGTCTAGAACATCCATTAGTTTGTATTTGTTTTCTGTGTCTCTCTTGGAGATTTCTACTCACTTCCTGTACCATTAACAGCATTTTCACTGAGACAGGAAATGAGTGGAAATCTTCGGAGTTGGGCCACAGATAGCAGTAAATCCCAATGGAAGTTTTCATCCTTCAGATCATAATCAAATAATACATTTAACATTTTAGGAGTTTAAATAATTTTTTCTCAGTTTATTAGTTAAATCAAAGAAAGGGGAATTTATCAAAACTGGAGCAGACAAAATCTGGAGCTGCTGTGCATGTCAATCAATCAGCTTCTAACAGAAAAAACTGAAGAGAGAAGCTGATTGGTTGCCTATGCACAGCTGCTCCGGATTTTGTCTGCTCCAATTTCAATAAATTCCCCTTTTGATAAATTCCCCTCAGAGTGTCTTCTCATATTTATGATCATTATTCTGCTAAACAAGTTAAAAGAGATGCAGTTTATTATTTGGTAACTATTTTGGCTCTGACAGAAATTATGTGCTTGATCTCGCCTTGGAAGGTTTACAGTTTTCAGTATCAATTTACGCTCACGTGTTATATTACACAAATTGCTCTTCCATTCACTGAATAAAAGCTTTTATGGCATTAATGACTTAAACTAATAGATGAGTCAAATCAAAGAGCAAATGATTGAAATACATTACCGCTTAACCTTTGAAGGAAATGCCTTTACACAAAATTGTTCAAATAGAATGCTGGCTGCTGGGTGATGTCGTATATTGTTTTTAAAAGTAATGTTTAATTATTGCAATTTATTTGTAAACCTAAAGGGAAAGAACCATGTTTAATATAGTCTTTATTTAATGTGTTCAGGATTTAAAAATATATTTTTTAATAAACAAGGTTATACAGATGCTCCTCGGGTTACGATCGTTCAGTTTACGATTTTTTGACTTTACGATCATATACGATAGTGGTGTATATATACTGTGTACAGGTGCTCCTTGGTACTGTATATATCATAGCTTAGCTTACCTGAATCCTGGCTAAAACACTTAACTTATCCTCAACATGGACTAAAACCTACTATATTTGATAATAAAGTGTTGAGTATTTCATGTATATACAACTCCCTGATTTACGATGCGATTGGTTTACGATGGGTTTGTCGGAACGTAACCCCATTATATACCGAGAAGTGTCTGTAATGAAATATATACAAAATGTATATATACAGTAAAAGCATTTGTTATAATTATGTTTTCCAACCAACAGATGGCACTCTAAGCTTCTTTTCACACGTTACCATTAACTAACATTACCTTCATTGCTGACATAAGGTTTTTGTCTACAGAGCTCAATAGCCCAAACTAAAATTATAAACACAGTTTATGCATAACAGAACATAACAGATGAATTTGCAGGTACCCAGCTCAGAACACTCCAATAGATTTTAAATCAAAGCACATTTTTTTATGTACATTAACATACTAAATGTCC